ACGTGAACCCAACCCTATATATATATATATATATATATATATATATATATATATATGGGGAAGATCAAATGTTAACCAACAATTTTGTGTTAACTTTGAAAACCATGACAACCAATCAAATTTCTTTCTTCTTGTAGGTTTATGTCATGTTCACATTTTAATTACAATGGTATTTCAGTAAATTGATTTGATATGTAACTCTCAAACAATTAATAGGGAGTTACAAATCGTCAAATCCCAAAAAATATGCATTTATAATATTAATATTTTTATTTTTTTTAATCTTGATCTTCAATGTTCATTGTTTTATCAGTATTTAATTCGTATAGAAAACACGGTAATAAAAATTTTCGCTATCGATCAAGCTAATATGGATAAACGCAATGAAAAATAAATCGACAACAGTGAGAAGATTAAAATGGTTTATGATGACAATCGGAGTTAGAGGCCGGGAATTGAAAAAATTAACCAAAGCGAATGTCTTGGTAATATATTTTTTATTTTTTTATATTCGTTTTAATCGAAATTATGTTCATTACGATGTGTTGTGTTTTTTATAATTCATCTTGTATTGATAGCTTTTTTCTTCAATTATTAAAATACGTACCTAATTCACATGTTCAAATGAAAGTACATGCACAACCCATTTTCGTATTGTCATATTACCGACTTTTATGAATCATGAACCATTGTGTTCATGTTACTTCTATCATATGAACACAAGTGTTATTTTTTAAGCTTGATACCAAATCTTTATATTTGTGTAAGTGTTTGCACCCGGTGTTCATAGCGTTGGAATTATGTGTTCATATATTTTATACGATATGAACAAGGATGAACACGATATGAACAAGAGGTGAACACGATATGAACAAGGGGTGAACCTTAAACGGTATGGATGCAATGCATGTATAAAACTCCAATTGACAAATGATCGCTTCTGAATGTGTTTATAATGAAGAAACTATTGTTCACAAACTATTCATATCGTGTTCATACCTGCTTTTTTCTTTCGTGTAGCAGTTATTCTTATTATGTTTATATTGTGTTCATAAATGCTATGCAGTCCAAGTTCATATATATGTCAAATTTTTGTTCGTATTTGACACAATGGTTCATATGTTTATAGCTGTGTTCATATGGTTCTTACATTCACAAAAAAAAATTAACAAAAAAATCATAGAATTTTTTATTTTGTAACTCCCAATT